GAGGTTCACTATAGGCTGCTATTTTTCCCAGTCTTTTGGCATTTGTGTTACACCCTGACACCTTGTTTGTGACCCCACCCTCAGTGCTGTTCCCTCGCCACACCAATGCCAGTGCTAGAGACAACACCATCAACCTGATCCACACGTTCCGGGACTACCTGCACTACCACATCAAGTGCTCTAAGGTGAGGGGGCCCGTATCTCAGCTCCTGTGCTCTAAGTCTGTCTTCCCAAAAGAGTTCAGAGCCCCTAACAAAAGTTCCTAAATATAGTTCAGGCTGTGGATCTGATTACATAGGTAATTTCAGGGGCTTCAAGAAACCATGGTCTTTGTTCACCAAGCCACTTTCTCCCATGCCTCCTCATAGCAGAGAGATGAACACATCTCCAAATTGTTCACCTTCCTGCTTCCCTGCATGGCCTTGGTCAGGCCCAGGGTGTACCCAAACTTTCCTGATCACATCTCCTAATGAGAGCAAAGCTGTCTTTCTAGAACGTGACTCTGCTTCACCACCTGTTGTGTTTGTTTCCAGGCCTATATTCACACACGTATGCGGGCAAAAACATCTGACTTCCTCAAGGTGCTTAACCGTGCACGTCCAGATGCCGAGAAAAAAGAAATGAAAACAATCACGTAAGTAGGGCAGTACTATAGCAGGGCCACCTACCCCTCCTGAGCTCACCAAGAAGAAAGTAGTGGGTGTTGGTGGCCTGGCCCTCCTGATGTCTGGACAGCAGCTACATGTGAGGCCAGCAGGTCTGGGCGGATAGACTGAAGATGGGAGTAACATGTTTTTCACTCCTGAATGGGCTAGGAAAAAAGCAAGGGACCTTTTTACCAAGAATTCATAGGCTCTTTGGGCCTGAGTTGAGAGGTTGTTCTTGCCCTTCTTGTGGTCTTCCTGGAGAAATTGAGCAAGTTGCTTTAGGATATTTAGTTGAGTAAATAAGCCTGGAACCACCTTTCAAGTGTTCTTCTTCCTGGTCATCTTCTCAGCAGAAAGTTTGCATGAAGAGGAAGATCTTTATCAGGGGTGGAAATGATGAGTAGAATTCTAAACGGTCTATGACTCTGAGTGGCAGAGAGGCCAGCATGGTCTGGAGCCGAGAGAGTTGTGTCTTTGTGCAAGGTGCTAGTTCTTGGTTCCCCATCCATCTTGTGAGATTTAGGCAATCCTGTTCACAAGATAAGGTCATATGTGCTCGTGTGCTGTCGTTTGTGCCCTTTGAACTAAAGGTCTTGAGGTAAACTAAGTCTCCTCGCCTAGCCATTGTATTTGCCAACACCCAGTACTCCTGGGGCAAACATTGGTGTAGGCTGGTATGCATGGGCTTCGAAGCTCCCTCACCTGGCCTGTGACGCAGCTTCCACCAAGTTAGTTTCTGCTGCCATTTGAAAGGATGTGGGTACCTGAGCAATAGGTGAGGCTTTTTCTGTCCCAGAAACGTCAAACACTTACACAAAGAAAGTTAAGTCACCCCTGACTTCTTTAGGCAGAGGCTTTCTTGTATCTGCTGTGTCTGCCACCGAGAGCCGAAGCAATGGTCTTCAGTCTAGACAGATTCTCTGCTCAGAGACAGGTGTCCCAATGCCATGCAATGAAATGGCAGCATTGTTTCTTCTATTCTGCAGCTTCTTGGCAGATCCTAAGCTGGGCAAAGAGACCAACCAGGTAGATTGGGCAGGTGAAGGGGTGTGCCCTGGAACACATGTACTCTCGCTGCCCCCCAGCACCTGGTCTTCTTCCTGGCATCTGCAATTTCCCTTTCCCTGCTTGCTCTTCACGGGGTGCTTTTCTCACCAGGTACCACTTTAATGACTTCAGGTGTGAGGCAGCCAATTTCATACTGCTTTCACCCATAGAGAGAAGCAGTTTAGTAGTTGCCAGGAGGTGAGTTGGGTGGCCTGTCACAACCAGACTGGAAGGCTGTGTATCAGAATAGTCCCAAGGCTGCCTGTGTCACCCTTCAGCCCCGGTAACTGCTTATCCAATCAGAAGGAAGGCCCACTAAGCGGCCACTGCCTTATTCCACCGCCAGCTGACAGTCTTGGGCAGGGGTCCTCAAACTTTTTAAACGGGGCCAGTTCACTGTCCCTCAAACCATTGGAGGGCCGGACTATAGTTTAAAAAAAACTGTGAACAAATTCCTATGCACACTGCATATATCTTATTTTGAAGTAAAAAAACAAACAGACAAACACACCTGCATTGTGGCCCACGAGCCGTGGTTTAAGGACGCCTGGTCTTGGGGGTCGCTGCCAAGTGAATGCAGTTGAATGGTGGACAAGGGTGGCTGCCTGACCTGGGGAAAGAATGAATCCATGAAATGAACAAATCATCCATAAACCACCATAAACCATAAATCATCCATAAACCTGGGACTTAAAAGACCAGCTCTGCCTTCATCTGTTCTGTGACCTCTCTTTGGCAGAATTGGGCCCCAGAAAGGAGAAGCGGGATGCAGACAACTGCATCCACCCTGAAACCCAGATTGTGTTACTAATGGCGGGTAGGAGTTAAGTGGCTCGGCTGTGAGCAGGAGAAGCTGGGACCTCCACACGACAGAGCAGGAGGAGTCTGCAGAAGCGTGGACAGGGTGTAATAGGGTGGTGGGCCCACCCTGAGAAACAGGGCCCTGGATCAACAGCTGACCATCAGAGTCAGCACCCCTCAGTTTGCTGCCCAGAATTAAACAGGAGCTTTTCATTTGAGGGGAAGGGTAATAAATTGTACCTTCATTTTACAGTGGGTGGGTGAGACATTCAGGGCAGTAAAGATGTAGTGCCCTTGTTTGTTTGTTTTTTTGTTTTGTTTTTGCCCTGATTTCCTATAGTTCTCAACTCAAGCTTCCAGGCTGTTTTACCACATATCCTTGGGTACCAGTTTACAGGCTGTCTTTGGGAACCAGCTGGCCCTTCTGGAGAAATCTGGGTAGAACAGGACGCCTTGACTCAGGAGTCTAGAACCAGACAATATGTGTTCTATAAGCCAGACTGTAGTCAGCACATGGTGACAAAAATGCCTTTAACCTTGGAGATTTTGAGGATTCCTTTGAACCTCTTGTCCCCATGGCGAAAGCTAAGGAAGTGCCATGTGGGAGCCCTGAAAGGTAGACAGTTGAGTCCAGTATGAAATTCAGGTATATCTAGGCCATCCAGAAACTGTAGATGGGTGATTCTCCTATTTAACATAGTTCATTTATTGTCTCTATGTGCTTAACACAGATATTCCCTGGTACCCCAAAGTATTCAATAGGAGGGAAGAGATGATGAAACCATTCTCTGAAAACTGGATCTTAGCCCGTGCGTGCCCTGTGGTTCCAGCACCTTTGCCTAAGGAATCTAGTACTTTCCACCTCTTGGTGTTTCTTTGGGATACCATCTAGTCCAGGAGTATGGGGTGGGAGGAAAGGGCAGCCGGAAACTAGCCTTCACATTTCTCTCTCCTTTCGAAGGGGGAAGACGTTTTCATCCCGCTAACTCCTGGGAATAAGAGGAGGAAGCAGCTGGCAACTGAAGGCTGGAACACTTGCTACTGGATAATCGTAGCTTTTAATGTTGCACCTCTTCAGGTTCTTAAGGGATTCTCCATTTTGGTTCCATTTTGTACACGTTTGGAAAATAATCTGCAGAAACGAGCTGTGCTTGCAAGGACTTCATAGTTCCCAAGAATTAAAAAAAAAAAAAAAGAATTCCACTTGATCAACTTAATTCCTTTTCTTTATCTTCCTTCCCTCACTCCCCTTCCCTCCCACCCTCTTTTCCAGGCTGTTTCGCTTTGCAAAATGTTACTGGTAATGAGTTGCAGGATAATGCAGTCTTAACTTGTTTTCTCCTAAGTATTTGAGTTCAAAACTCCTATATCTAAAGAAATACGGTTGGGGTCATTAATAAAGAAAATCTTTCTATCTTACATGAGAATTTGCTGGGTTTCTGGACTATGAATCCAAAAAAGACAGAAGAGGGGAAGAACAATACACTTGCATTGCCCTTGGACCTGCAAACCTGAGCTAGAAACTAGCCTTCGGTTCAGGAGCGTATCAGACCTAGATCCTTACCCCCTAGAGGAGAGAATGACTGGCCAGTGAGCTATAAATAAACTTGAACATGCTTCCTATAAAGCTTGGTCCCTGAAACTGCCTGGCTGCTCTTGAGTGGCCAGGAAGCTTCCCAATGACAGGCAAATTAAAGTGTTTTTCTGATTTATTCCTTTATCGTGAATGATGTATAGCTTTTCCCAAAATGTATACCTCCATATGTGTGGTTCTACAGGACATTGGTGAGTATTTAGATGTGAATATGATGCAAACTAACTGGCCACATTTCCTGTGGCTTTTTTGGCGTTTTTTTTTTTTTTTTTTTTTTTTTGAGGCAGAGTCTCACTCTGTTGCCCTGGCTATAGTACCAGGGTGTCAGCCTAGCTCACAGCAACCTCAAACTCCTGGGCTCAAGCGATCCTCCTGCCTCAGCCTCCTGAGTAGCTGGGACTACAGGCATGTGCCACCATGCCCAGCTAATTTTTTCTATATATTTTTAGTTGTCCAGCTAATTTCTTTCTATTTTTAGTAGAGACGGGGTCTCGCTCTTGCTCAAGCTGGTTTCGAACTCCTGACCTTGAGCGATCCACCTCCCTCGGCCTCCCAGAGTGCTAGGAATACAGGTGTGAGCCACCATTCCCGGCCGTCACAAGGTGTTTTTTTTTTCGTTTTTTTTTTGAGACAGAGTCTCGCTTGTTGACCAGGCTAGAGTGAGTGCCGTGGCATCAGCCTAGCTCACAGCAACCTCAAACTCCTGGCCTTAAGCAATCCTTCTGCCTCAGCCTCCCGAGTAGCTGGGACTACAGGCATGCGCCACCATGCCCGGCTAATTTTCTATATATATTAGTTGGCCAATTAATTTCTTTCTATTTATAGTAGAGACGGGGTCTTGCTCTTGCTCAGGCTGGTTTCGAACTCCTGACCTCGAGCAATCCGCCCTCCTCAGCCTCCCAGAGTGCTAGGATTACAGGCGTGAGCCACCGCGCCCGGCCCTCACAAGGTTTTTAAAAGGAAAAGAGTAGATGGATGCCTGTCACATCATATGTATTAAAATGCCTATAATTATTTATAATGCCATTTAATAAATCCTTGTTCCCTTTATACACTCAAGAGGATCAGAAGTGACGGGGCTACTGCAGAAGCAAAGTCCAACATAAGCCAAGCCTCATTTTGTTCTTGGGGTTTCCCAGGCCTTCCCTAAGATGGTTGGTATTTTGTATTTTGCCCTACTTGGATGACCCTTACTGCAGGGGTCAGGCAGTGGGAGTCTCCTTGTCTGGATAAACTGGGACCCCAGCAAGCTAAGAACAGGGAGCTTTGGCTGGCAGGAAGTGGAAGAACTGGGTCAGTTGGGGGTTGAAACCAAGGAAAGGAAATGGCCCTAGCTGCCGCATCAGCCTTCTCACAGGAGTTGCTAGAGTTGCCATTACGGACCTGCATTCTCCTTGGGAGCAGTGCTGCTGGGCCCTTGGCCCCACAGCTCCTGAGGCCTAAGCCAAGAGCCTGGATCTACTACTATGGTGGTGATTTGGGGTTCAAGCAGTGCTGCCCCCTCTGGGGATTGCTAAAAAGCACTGCGATTTCCTTGGCTCCTAGGGTCAGTATCTGACCCAGACCTTAAGAATCTGATGGTTTAGACGTAACAGGAAAACAGGGTTTCTTCTGCCCCTACAAATGACTCAGAGCTTCCCAAAACCAGGTTTGTGTCCAGAGCCCTTCAGAGGCTCTACAGGGTTCATCTGCTCTTGCCTGTGGGAATGGAGAATACTGCACAGTGGTGCGGGGAGGCCAGCCAGGGTCCAGAAGGCCCTGCCTCCACCAGTCCAGGGCTAGGAGCCGTTGAGTATCACACCCGCCCAGCCCCAAACATCACGGGTCAGCAGAGAGAAATTCAAATACCTGTGAGCACGGAAGTGGACAGAGGAGGCCCAGGCGGATCCTGCGCCAGTTGGATTGATTGGCTGCCCTGAAACAGACTCTACCTCAGAAAGAACTGGGCCCAGGCTGCAGAGTTAGCTGGACAGAGCATCTGAAAACTGCATCTCCGTGGGTGAAGGGGAGAAGCCAGGGGATGAGTCAGCCAGCCCCAAGGCTTTGACAAAGGCGCGGAGAGGAGCTAGATGATCCAGTAAGGCGGAAATGGGGCTGAACGGGGAACAGAACCCAGGCTCCCCAGCTGCCCTCCGCCTAAGTTGCCCCCCCACACGTCATTCCGCACACAATGTTTAGACAGAGCAGCGAAGAAGAAACACAGACATCCTGGGTCCTGCGGGGAGGAGGCCAGGGCTGGGAACGAGAAGGTCTGTTTATTCCTGGCAGTCCCATATCCAAGGAGCCCACACCCATGTGTGTCTGTACCCCAGGCTGAACTCTCCCAGAGCTTCTGACTTCTGCCCAAGCAGGCAGTGCGAGTCCTGGGCCCGGTGCTGGAACCCCGCGGCATCCTGCCCACCGGCTCCCTGCAGGCTGGGTCTGAGGGTTACACGCTTTCCTCTTCCCATTTTTTGCCTTAGTGGGAGTCTTGCCTCTCCAGGCCCCCTGACTGGCTGTGCAGGGCTGGCAGAGCCAGACTCCTAAGGCCTGCATTCCTTCAGGCCCTGGTCTCCCCAGGGAGTACTGAAGTCCCCTGGCTCTGTCATCTGTTGCTCTTCAGCCGGGAAGTTTTTCCTAATGCCTCACCTCCAGCTTTCTTGCTACAGTGTCTGGCTGTTCCCTCCCATTTTCTGGCCTTAAAGGAGTGTGGCCAGGCTTCTCTCCCCCTCTCCCCAAAGCTGCAGTTGATACAAAGTGGAAATCAGAGCCCCACACCTCCTGGCTTCCTATCCTTGAACTTGCCCTTCCCTTTCACTGCACCTACTTTTCTCGGTTTCCCGCTGGAGCAAAACTGTCATTCCTCTTGCTTTTGATAGGCTCCCTATCTGCCTTCCTCAACAAAGGTATTTCTTAGAGGCGACAGGTGCAGAAAAAGGCAGAAATCCTAATACTGTTAATAATAGCTACCTGTCATTGCGTGCCTGTGTGCCAAGTGCTGCGCGCCAGGTCCTTGTCGTACATTAACCTTGTTTGGTCTCACAATAGGTAAGGACAATTATGAGTCCCATTTTACAGATGAGGAAACTAAGGCAAGAGAACTTCAGTAATTTGCCTAAGTTCACGCAGCTAAAAAAAAAAAAAAAAAAAGATCCTGGACAGCTCTGAATCCAACACTGGCTCATGCCTCTTAATCATCGTGGAAGGGAAGGAGAGACAACCCCCCCATCGAAGTGTCAAGCACGCGGTGTACGCGGTTACATGTTATCCCATGGCATTCCCGACAACAACCTCTAGAGGTGGTTTTTCTTGTTCCTGTTTTATGTAGGGGAAACTGAGGGCCAGCAGTAGCTTGCCCAAGGTCACATCCCCAGAGCCCTTGGTACCTCATAGCCCGGAACCTAGAAAGTAATAGTTACGGAAAGTGTGGAATGGCCAGATTCGGGAAGGCAGGGCTGGCCCATCAGGTGATGGGACGGGGCCAGTGAAGACCCTCAGGCCCCCAAACCCTCCCCCCTGCTGTCATCGCGCACACCACCTGTAGCTGCTGTAGCTCTGCGGTTTAAAGCTTATAAATGTAAATGTATTAACTGAAGCAGGAAGTGGGGAAGGGTAGACTAAGTCATTATTATTCATGAACTAGAATGCGTTTGTCAGATTCGCTGGGCACTAGCGGTGAGAGGGCTCCAAGCTGAAGTAGGGAAGCCACCACCTAGGTGGCAAGGTGTGTCCAGTTGGCTAGGGGTCGGAGGAGGAGGCACTCACAGAAGGATTTGTGGGGCAAGGGGTTGCTGCAGCTCAGGATGTGCCAGGTCCCACCCCCAGAGGCGGGGCCAGCACCCAGCCCTGGCTGCCGCTACTCCATCCCTCCGGGAACCCAGGCAGGCGGCAGAACCTGGGCAGGCGAGCCCGGTCCAGACGGCTGTTCCCACAGAGCAGAGGCACCGTTTGCTGGCCAGCCAGGACACCAGACACGGTGTGAAGCCCTGCAGGGATGGCTGCAGCAACTCCTGGCCACTGAGGAAAGCCCAGGCTGGAAGCTGGGCAGGCAACACCTGTCCCCAACAGCCATGTGAGTAGCTACTCCCCATCCTGCTGGGCTACCCCTCAAGACCTCAGCCCCAGATCCTGGAGAGGCCACTGCACCCAGTCCAAGCCACCAGCCCCTGGGGGTGTGAGGGTGACAAAGCCAGCATCCCTCTGAGAAGTCACACCAGCAGGCTGCTCCCTGCCTTCTCACCACCCTGGTGGAGGTGGGGTGGAGACAACCACGCCAGGCTAGAGCTAGGAGCTCCGGCCCGTGCCAGGTTTGGGGGAACAGACCCTGAATCTCATGGGGTTTAAGAAAGATTGTGGTGCAAGGAGGAAGAGGAACAGAAACTGAGGGCCTCTGGAAAAGGAAAGATGTCCCAGGTGGACAGCACAGGGGACATTGAGGAAGAGGAACCAGGGGCTGAGGTCAGGAGAAAGGGACCCAGGGGTACAGGGACTCAGAGGTTGGGGTTAGCACACTGAGGAACTTGAGAATGGAGGGAAGCATCTTCCTCTCTACTCAGAGTGGCCGTGGGGCCCTGGTCCTCTGACCCGGAGAGGGTGAGGAGTAGGAATCCTTTCCTTATTGACTTTAATCCTAGCAACAGCAGCTGCTCCCCTGCTGACAGAAGCAGGAGCTCCCACAGGACCCAGGACCCCTCCCCCTGTCCCCAGGATGGGGCTGCAGGGCCATGGCACTGGAGGACTGAGACCAAGGAGTGAAGGGAAGGGGAGCACAGGAACAGATCAGAGCCACAGAGGCGAGGCCTTGCCCCCTGGCTCCTCCTCCCTGTCTCTGGGCTCAGCTTCAGGCTCTGGGGGTGTTGAGGGTCATCTCCTTGCTGCTGGCATCTCCACAGTCACTGCCAAGCGTCCCTTCCCCTCCTCTCCTCCCTCCAGTTCCCAGGAAGGGCCCTGTTGCTAGTGTGGAGCAGACGAGTCAAGTTTATGGGCTGGAAGTCCTACCCGGAGGCTGCTCACTGAACCGTAATGGGCCACAAGGACAGATGGGGGGAGGAGTGCAGGGGACAGGGCACCCCAGTTGTGCCCCAGACCTGGCCCAAAGGAGCCTCTCCCCTGATGACTGGCTAGAAGACCACTGCACGCTGGCCAGACTTGTCCTCTCTTTTGGTTCCTGTAGAGGCCACCCAGGTGGAGGCCGGGATGCACGCTCCTCTCTGCTGCACGCCGGGGGCCGGCCGCGCTGCCTTGCAGTCTAAACAGAGGCAGAAACGCACTGCCCGGGGAGGCCAGACAGAGAGCAGAAATGGGTGGCGCTGGCCTGGTGGGGACTGTTTTGAGGGCAACCACCAGTAAGCTCTGCTGGCTGCTACCTTACAGGCGTGTTACCAGACCTGATTTTTCAAGAGAAACCAAAAATATGAATTTTATATAAATTTTTAATTGGCAATTAATTGAAAAATATGTATATCAGCAAATAGGATATGGCCCCCAGCCCGTGGATCTGCACCCTCTGGATCTGCACCCTCTGGATTCACGTGCAGTCCCCACCAGGACAGCAACCTGCACCCCATCCTAACTCTGGCGCCCCATCCTCCACGCAGGCATGCTGGCTGCTGCACCAGGCCCGCTCCATCCCCAGGCCCAAGATGACAGCCAACAGCACTGAGGAATGGCCCAACCCTGTTCCCAAGGGGGCTCTGGGGCTCTCCCTAGCCCTGGCAAGCCTCATCGTTGCTGCCAACCTGCTCCTGGCCCTGGGCATCGCCTGTGACCACCGTCTGCGCAGCCCACCTGCTGGCTGCTTCTTCCTGAGCCTGCTGCTGGCTGGGCTGCTCACAGGGCTGGCGCTGCCCATGCTGCCAGCACTGTGGAGCCAGAGCCGCCGGGGTTACTGGTCCTGCCTCTTCCTCTACTTGGCTCCCAACTTTTCCTTCCTCTCCCTGCTCGCCAACCTTCTGCTGGTACACGGGGAGCGCTACATGGCAGTGCTGTGGCCACTCCGGCCCCCTGGGAGCACACGGCTGGCCCTGCTCCTCACCTGGGCCAGCCCCCTGTCCTTTGCCAGCCTGCCTGCTCTAGGGTGGAACCACTGGACGCCTGGCACCAACTGCAGCTCCCAGGCTGTCTTCCCAGCCCCCTACCTCTACCTGGAAACCTATGGGCTCCTGCTGCCTGCCGTGGGTGCTGCTGCCCTCCTCTCTGCCTGCGTGCTGGTCGCCGCCCACCGCCAGCTGCAGGACATCCGCCGGCTGGAGCGGGCAGTGAACCGTGACGTGCCTTCAGCCCTGGCCCGGGCCCTCACCTGGAGGCAGGCAAGGGCGCAGGCAGGAGCCACGCTGCTCTTCGTGCTGTGCTGGGGGCCCTACGTGGCTACCCTGCTCCTCTCGGTCCTGGCCTACGAGCAACGCCCACCGCTGGGGCCTGGAACGCTGTTGTCCCTCCTCTCACTGGGCAGTGCCAGTGCAGCAGCCGTGCCTGTGGCCATGGGGCTGGGTGATCAGCGCTACACAGCCCCCTGGAGGGCGGCTGCACGAAGGTGCCTGCAGAGGCTACAGGGAAGGGCCTCCCAGGGCAGGCCGGGCCCCAACACTGCCTACCACACCAGCAGTGTCGACCTGGACTTGAACTAGGGGAAGGGCCTCTGCTGACCCTACAAGAGCATCCATCCAACTCAGCCAAGCCTGTCTGGTCCACATTTCTCTGGGTCAGAGACCCTGCCCCATCTGACCCCTCCCTGACCAAATAAAGGCCGTTTATGGTTACTTCACTCCATTATCTCAGAAAGGGAGAGGCAGGTAGACCCCACTATGGAAAGAACCTTAAAGACAGACATGTGGCCGGACGCGGTGGCGCGCGCCTGTAGTCCCAGCTACTCGGGAGGCTGAGACGGGAGGATCGCTTGAGCCCAGGAGTTCTGGGCTGTAGTGCGCTATGCCGATCGGGTGTCCGCACTAAGTTCGGCATCAATATGGTGACCTCCCGGGAGCGGGGGACCACCAGGTTGCCTAAGGAGGGGTGAACCGGCCCAGGTCGGAAACGGAGTAAGCTCCGAAAACTCCCGTGCTGATCAGTAGTGGGATCGCGCCTGTGAATAGCCACTGCACTCCAGCCTGGGCAACATAGCGAGACCCCGTCTCTAAAAAAATAAAAAAATAAAAAAAATAAAAAAAAAAAAGACAGACATGTGGAGCAAGGGAGATTCTGGCCCAGACAGGCAGTTAATTGTTGGTGCCAACAGACCACTCCTGAGAGAAGGTGAGCTGACATCTTGAAATGGAGCAGATCTGGAGGGGAGCGTCACCCTGACATGGCCCTCACTAGCCCCTCCTTGCTCCCAGCCACCACAAAATCCACACAGACACTGTCTCTGGGAAGTATATTTTATTTACATTTTTAAAATCTGTAACTAGTATCTCTTCCTCCTTTCCACCCCCAGAGACCTGGGAAGGGAAAGAACGGGAACCTCAAATACCTACTCCCCACATACAAACACACACCCCCATGGCTCACACCAGCAAGTGAAAGTGAAAGAGACAGAGGCCTGAACAGCCTCGGAAGGGCTCACCGGGCCTGGGCGAGGGGAAGGGGAGGGGGCCCGGGGCTGGGTCTCTAAAGAGAAGAAAAGGACAGAGAGGGGGCAAGTCAGCTGAAGGGGTTGGAAAGTAGTCCAATGCCCCCTCCCCTCCTCTTCCCTCTGTACCCTACCGCCTCTGCTGGTGGGGGGACTCCCTTCATCCCCCTCAACACCACACACAGAGGCAGAGGCTGCAGCCATTAACGGTCAGGTCTCTGGACACAAAATACTTTCGCTTTATGGTCTCCTGACGTGGTCACCACCAGGGAGGCATCTCTGTAAACAGAAAGCATGTGGGTGAAGAGACGGGATGACCCGAGGACCAGCCCAAGGCCACCCTAGGGCCTCCTCCAGCTCATCCTCAACGCTAGACCCCAGTGCCTAACACTGTGCTGACACCTCCACGTGGCCAGCAAGGGGATGGAAGGAAAGCCCAGCATGGAGAAGCGCGGAGCTTGGACTTGGACTTGGTCAGGGGAAATGGATCTCAGTCTCCTACCCTATGACTGGGATGCGAGACTCTGGGTAGGTCACTGTCACCCACCGGGGTGGGGGCTGGATCAGCAGTGACAACTCCCTGTTAACCCTCAAGCTTCCCAGTATTCCTGCCTCTCAAGGTGTAACCAGGCCCAGCTTCCCTCAGCGATCCCCTCCCACACCCAAGGACCCTTCCAAATACCGAGAACCCAGCCCTCGCCCCATGCGCTTACTTGCTGAGGGCGAAGTCCAGGATCTCGGCTGTATGGCCCCGGTAGTCAGTGAGCAGGCGGCCGGTCCGGGCGTCCCAGAGGCGCACGATGCCATCCAGGCTGCAGGTGTAAACCACGGCGGTGCCTGCCTCCCACAGCAGCTGCACGATGCCCGACTGCCCCGGGTGTGAAAGACACAGGGTGGAAGTCAGGGTTGGGAGAGTGGAGAGCCATCTGCTCCCAACCCTCACCGAGGGAGAGCCATAGAGAGGGAGCAAACAGGAGCCAGGTCAGGGGCAGATGCCCCCAGAGGCCTGGGCTTCCCTATGGCCACAGCCCGTGGGGAAACTAGCTCCAGCTGTCCATACCTGGTGCTGACACTGATGCCTAAGGGTCTGCGTAGACAGGTCATAGATGGCCAAGGTCCCATCTAGGTAACCAACAGCTGCCAGAGGCATCCTGCGCCGAGGAGAACACTGTGAGAACGCACATGCCCTGCCCCTACCCAGGGGCACCTGCCTCTCCCTGGGGCCCCAGCCCAGGCCCCCTCAACAAGCCCCCTCCTCCTCCACTCTGCCCGTCTCTGGGCCAAGGCCCTGGCTCACACTCACACACTGCAGAAGCCCAACGACTCCACCGAGTTGGACTCACTCTCCTCCCCTTCTCCCAGGTTGGGCTGGGAGGCCACCGTCTCGGGTCTGAAAACGCCCACCACCTATAAGTGAGAGAGGATCAGAGGGGGCCTGGAATCTCAGTCTTCTGATAAAGAGAAAGACAGGGGAGGGGAGGCACAGTGAAGAATGAGAAAGAAAGGAGAGAGGATACTGGAGAGCAGAAGGCCCAGCCAGGCTCCAGGTCCACTCACCTTGCCAGTGGTGGCACTGACCAGCTTGGCCTGGCAGTCCACAGAGCCAGTCAGGATCAGGCTGCCATCCTGATTGGTGGCAACACAGGTGAGAGGGCCCTGGTGACCCTCAGTCCCTAAGGTGGAGCAGAGGGACAAGACAGGTTTCATCCTATCTCCCCTCTAAGACCTGCCCTGGGTTCTCAGCCCCTCCCTAAAGGCCCAGGTTAACACTTCCCCCAGCTCTGATACCTTTCAGTACGTGGATGGGGTTCCCCTGCTTCAGGTCCCAAATCCTGATAGTGCCATCTTCATAGCCGACCACAGCTCTCTTCCCTAAAGGGCCAGAGGCCCAGGTGAAAAGAAGACAGAGAGCACACTCAGACACAACAAGCAAGGGACTGGGGGAAGGGGAGAGGCAGGAAGAGAACAAGGGCGCGGATGCTGCCCAGGGAACACAGATGAGACCAGTTCAGGGCAGGAAGAAGGTGCTGTCAGCTTTGGGCCTGGGAGGTCAGCACTCCCAGGAGCAGGCCTCAGAGTTTGCCAGCTGTGGCCCAGGAGGGAGCTGAAGGAGGTGCCTAACCCCAGTGCCAACCTCTATACCCAGGAAAGGACACTCAAGGGAGCTGCTCTCACCATCCGGGAGGACTCGGCCACAGGTGGCTGGGCAGTTGGGGCCCTGGAAGGTCTTGCAGTCACCATTCGGAACTTTCCACATCCAGGTGTTGCCATCAGCCGTGCCCGCCAGTAGGACAGGTGCCCGAGGGTGCCACTCCATCCACTGGGCAGGGAAAAGAGGCAGCAGGGAGGCCCATCACCCCATCCCACCTAGACGCCTGCCCCACGTGCCCCACCCAAGGTTTCCCTGCTTCTGGGGTCAGCAGGGACTTTCCAGGTAACAAGTACGGACATTCTTGCTGCACCTTGTGGTACGCTGGCTCGGAGCTGGCTTGCTCCCACAAAGGTAGGACCGGCCCCCAAGCTCTCAGCCCCCAACCCAAGGCCTCACAGAGTTGGATCCCACTCTGATGATCTCACCTCCAGGTCTCCTGCTTCAAAGGACCAGACCTCCTCCTTGGTGTCTACCTGCCACACTTTCAAGAGGCCACTCATGTCCCCCGTGGCCACTAGGGTAGAGTCATGGCTGAAACCAGCACAAGTCACAGAATCTTTATGGCCTGCAAAGAAAAGTGGGCAGAAAGAGAAACATAACAATAGGATACCGACTGCTGGGGGCACATGATCCCAGTATCTGGCCCCCTGAAAGGACTAGCGAGGAATAAAAGGGACACGGCGTGCTGGCACATGCCTGTAGTCCCAGCCACTTGGGTTCAGGTGACGGAATTCACAGCTGGTCCAAGAAACAAGAGCCCCAGGAATCTCCAGGAGAGACGCTGCTGGCCCCCTTCACCCAAGCATATCTCAGGCCGCCTATCTTTTATCACTTCTGTTCACTCTACACCTCTCCTTAAAACCCACATCCCTCCTCCACCCAACTACTCCTACACCAGTGTCACCTCCCCGTTCCTAGACTCCCTTGGCCAATTAGTGCCTCCGGCTCCTGAGCCTACAAAAGACTATTATATACTCCTCCTTTGTGGCCCTGGGGCCAGCAAAGAGCTGGTACAAAACAGATGTCACAAAACAGAGGCTGTTGGATGCCCCACTGCAGGCCAGCCCCCTAAGATCTCCAAAGGAACATGACCCCCAAAGCCTCTACCCTGGCCCCTCACCTGCACACTCAAAGAGCAGCTCCCCATCGCTGAGCCTCCACACAAAGGCTTTGTCGTCTTCACCCCCTGTCACCGCCAAGGTGTTGGTCTTGGGATCCAGGCTCACACAAAACACAGATGCTGTTCCAAGAGACGGTCCACGGGTAAGGGGACAGAGCTCCTACTGAGGGTTCTGTCCTTCAGAACCTTCAGGCAGCCCCACCCCTTTTCACCCAAAGCAACTTGACTTTCCTTCTGGAAAAGAATCCAAGTCCTTTTAAGATTCAAGAATCAGGCTGTCAGAGAAAGCTTTCCCCCAAACTTGTCAAACTCAAGTCCTTCTCCAGGGCAGATGCCTCCTATGTGCTGCTCCCCTCACCACCCACACTGATGCCCTAGATGAGGAGTTACAGTTCTCAGTATGGGGTACCACCAGGCTGGTGGGTTTCTCACTAAGAAATAGTATTTGAGAAGGTTATTAAAATATGCTCATAAAGGTACCTCTAATTTACACTCAGCTTACTTTCATTATGTCTTATCGAAGATAACTTTTTAAAAGAAAACTAAGACTCAGAGAAGTTAATTACAGCTAGTGGGTAAGAGAGGTAAGATTTGATCATAGGTGTCTCAACAGACTCCAAACCCAAGCTCTCACCCATCCCACCATAATGCACCCTACCTGTGAGCCCCTCCAGGGCAAGGCCAGTATCTTTCCCATTTCTGGGTCCCTCATAGTGCTCTGTCCACAACAGATGTCTAATACATCCCCACTTGGACTGATTTAAGGTGGATCTCATCGGAGACCTACCTGAGTGCAATGCAAAGGTGACCTCGCTATCATCGGGGCCCTCCATGCTGCCAACCACCCCTTCCTGGGGTTCCAGAACCCAGCCCTCCTCGTTGCCCTCTTCCTCTTCTTCCTCTTCCTCAAAGTCCACATCTTCCATCTCCTGGGCCAGATCATCTGCTTTGAGGAGAGGGTTAAAAGATGGGGCTC